ATAGATATACCACCGCTGCGTTGGTTGTGTGTATCCTTCCTCTGCTGGGGGATGCACTAAGGGAGCATCGTGTATTACAGCTGGTGAGCTAGAAATGTGGTCATCTACTTGTACCCATTCTGGACAAAATTTGTTTGGCAAGTCTGGTAAAGTGCAGCTCTGAATCTTCACCATCGAACTGTGGCTTTTAGCTTAAGGATGCATGGATTGCCTTCATCAGTGTGCACGCCTGGGGAAGTGTCTTGCAAGTGTCCCTTGAAGGGAAAAATTCTCAAGAGCTTAGCAAAATGCAATCAATACCTTGAATCTCCTGATGTGAATTTTGAATTTAGTCTTGCTCTTCTAGTTCGTACTCCTGCCTTTGGTAGAGCACCAGGAGCAGGTGGAAAGAGCTTGGAAAAGAGCCAGGCTCTTTCCAGGCATCTGTCGTGCGTGCTCCTTTCCTTCTTGCTTGGATTCCTCTAGTCAGGCCCAGTTGTGCAAGGGTTGGGATCAAAGGCCTCAAACGCCTAACTGGATTCACCCAAGTTTTGTGCGACGGCTTAGATGGAACGAAAACCAGAGTATTTGCTTTTATTCGTGGGTAGAATTAAGCATGTTAGACAAGCATACACTTAAGAACGGCTGTTAACAGTGTGGGAAAAACAGCAAGTGAAGCTTTGATAAAGATACAGCATTAGGAAATCTGCTTGCTGCCTCCCTTTTTCTTCCCCTCTTCAAACGTTTTGCAAATAGTTTTCAGACAACCGTTTGATCTTAAATTTGCGTGTCAGCAAAGGCTATGCAGTTCTCTCAGGAATTAGCAAATCGTAGAACAGGGTTAACAGGAGTGTATTGTGGGCTGCTTTTAAATTCCTTCCTTGCATGAGCCTCAAAACTGCCCTGGAAATTTCTTGCTAAAAAGTTTATCTTAAAAAGACCTGGAGCTATTTCAGGCTTATTGTTTCTTTTTCAGATTACCTATTTAGATGCATCTGTTTGATGTCAGCTGTTAAATTTTATCCAAAGAACCATCTGTGGGGAAACAGGATGGATTGAAGATTTGAGTATCTGAGTATCTTCTATACCAGAAGACATTCTCCTCTTGAAACATGACTATGAAAGTGTTGGAGTAATTGATAGGGTATAAAAAAATACCTCCAGTGCTCAGAGTGGGCTCTTCTTATTTACTGAGTGTTTGGGGGCTTTTTTTTTTTTTTTTTGCGCTATATGATGACCTGTGAACCTCCAGGACATACTCAAGCAAGAATGTAGTCTCTTGGCATGTTAAACTTTGCTGCCACCACCTGAATTGATTCATGGTTGCTTGAGCATTTCCCCACTTCCTTTTACCTGTTTGTGAAAGGATTTTCACTGCCACTCTACCACCCGGTGGTGTGAAATACCCTGCTAGAGAGGAGTCACACACAGTGATGGGCTTGGCGTGCCGGTTGCTGCTTGGCAGCAATTAGTACTGGCTGTGCTGAGCGAGGGGCCTGCTGGATACGAGGCTGAAAGGAACTCTGGCCTTTTATTAGTGTATTTGTAAACATTGCTAAAAGGCAGGAGAGAAAGTGTCAGCCCCCATTAGTTACTCTGTCAAATGGGTTTGGGTTTTTTTCCGGTTTTCGTTAAGATGGATTTTGCGAGTGTTTGTTCCCTTCTTGAAACAGCCACATCCTGTGTGGCAGGTTGGAAGTACATCGAATTCTAAATTCTAGCTTCAAAAATAGGAACTGACCTTATGTTTGTTTGAGGCTGGTTGCTCTCTGGCTTTTCTAAGTTCCTGGACTGACTTTTGAAAGTACAGAAAAATTCCAGCTCTCCCTCTGTGTACACAGCGATGCAGGAGACCTTAGTTGGCTGGTCCAAATGACTATACAGATTAATGATTGTCAGAAAAACTAGGCTTTAGTGTGAAAGGTTAGTTAGAAGTATTCACTAAGCTCAGTCCCATCTCTGTTATGGTCCTCCTGTGAAAAACTATGGTAAACATTGTGGATTGCCTCCTTAGAAGGGCTGTTTTGTGAGGAGGGCAGAGCTCAGCAGTGCTCTTGCTCGTCTTACCAAGCAGCAAACTGTCCCCCAAGTAGGACAGCTCGAGAGCTGGCTTTGCCTTGGCCTCTAGGTACGGGCTTAGTACAACACGGAAGTCAGGCCAGGAGTAGATGAGCTAGGAACAATCTGTGGTCCCAGTGGCACGGTCAGCGCTCGTTACAAAAGGGTTGTGTCTCTTGGAAGTCCTTGCTTGTGTCATTATTAGTTTTGCTCAAACAATTCTTAACGTTTTAATTTGATGCAGAAATGGCTGTTATTAATTCCTGCATTTTGCTCAGCCAAGACTAGGTAGGCTAGATCCTTCCTTCTAGCAAATTGTATTTCAGGAAACAGCGGTTATGGATTTCTTTTGCCCACTGGGCAGTGTTTCATTGGAAGTTATGATAGTCTTTGCTTCATTTAAAATAAGTTTCTTTATACTCTCAAAATCTCCTCCCTGTGATTTTTTTTTTTTAAATATACAGTCTAATTCATTTCGTAAGTTGATGCTGGAAATTTTGAATTTACTGTACTAGACTGGCCCCAGTGGCTTGTCAGCTAACCTCAAAAAGGTGCTTTCAAAGATACGTAAAAAGAAAATAATTTTTAAAAGTTCTTTCTTGTCAGTGAGGGAATTAACTTATTTAGCAGATTTTGTTAGAGACAGTTTGTAGTCTGATGTTGGGGCTTTGTATCCTAACTAGTATAACTGAGTGTTCTCATTACACAGATTTTACAAAAAATGGATTTGAAAGCTGTAAGTAGTTTGTAGGCAGTGTTTTTGCTTGCTTAGTTTGTGCAGTAAGCTGCTCTTGCAACTTAGTATTTCACACCTTGAAATTAATTTCAAAACCATTACTGACTATATATTTTGCACCCCTCTTCCCCTTCCCTGATAGTATGTGGTTTTGCGCAATGTGGCTTTACGGGCATCATTGTCTTCAAACACAGAGGATAAAGGGTTAATTATTCACTTTTCCTGGGAAGTAGAGACTTGTACACACATAAACCTTGTTTAAACATTGAAATCCACATTACTAGAATTCCCTTGCCCAACAGTTTTCAGTGCGGGCTTCAGCAATGGCATGGAGTTAAAATATGCCTAGGAATTGTACGGTCAGCAGTAAAGTTCCTAATGAGAGCCAAGCAGCCTAAATCCACCTTGGGAAACAATGGAGATTGAAGGAGGAATTTTGGTTAAAACTCTGGGCTTTGTTAAAGGATCAAAATTTAATTAAAATTAATATCCCCTTGACGTGGTCTCTGTACAGCAACCTTCCTCCTACCCCCACTCCTTACCTGCTGTGTGCAGTTCTGGGCCCCACAGTTTAAGAAGGGTGTGAAGGCCCTTGAATGCATCCAGAGGACGGCAGCAAAGCTGGTTCAAGGGCTGGAAGGCATGTCCTGTGAGGAGCGGCTGAGGGCTTTGGGCTTGTCTAGTTTGGAGAGAAGGAGGCTGAGGGGCAACCTCAGTGCTCTCTGCAGCTTCCTGAGGAGGGGAAGTGGAGAGGGAGGTGCTGAGCTCTTCTCCCTGGGATCCAGTGACAGGGCACAAGGGACTGGTTCAAAGCTGCGCCAGGGGAGGTTCAGACTGGACATTAGGAACCATTTCTTTACCGAGAGGGTGTTCAAACACTGGGACAGGCTTCCTAGAGAGGTGGTCGATGTCCCAAGGCTGTCAGTGTTGAAGAGGCATTTGGACAATGCCCTTAATAACATGCTTTAACTTGGTCAGCCCTGAAGTGGTTGAGCAGTTGGACTAGATGATTGTTGTAGGTCCCTTCCAACTGAAATAGTCTGTTCTATTCTACAGGTTGTCTACATAGAAGAGAGGCTACTTTTGAGCAGTGCTTTTTTTTCTTGTGTACTTTCTTGTGTGTTCAGAACAACCTCCAAATGTGCTGTCCCACTTGATCTCTCAGCTGAAGCAAGTATAGTTACTTCCTTTCATATAGACAAATTTAATTTAAATCTAAGGCTTAGGAATGGCTTAATTTTGTGCCCGTTTTGTCAAGTCTCGGGTATTTAGCTTGCCTCTGACACACCTCAAAGAGGTGAGCGAATCTGAGGGGGAGTTAAGCTCTGTGAGTGTCCCCTAACGTGTGGCAGAGGTCTGTCATTCTGTTCTTGGCTGTCGGGCAGATGGACCTTTGCGCTGTGTTAGTGGCCCCTGTAGCCCAACTAGATGCTGTCATTGGATCTTTGGGTTTCAAGTTTCTTGCAAGAACTAAACAAAATATTCTCTTTTCTACCGTTCTTCTGCTCGGTCTCAGGGGAGGCCTCAGGGAGTTTTTCTGGTGCTCCATGCATGCTGTGACACAGTTGCAGAGTTTAGACCTTCTCTGGGTTGAGCACCAGGTCCCTCCATGGTCTTTCTCAGTTGCTGGGGTGAGATGAAGGTGTCTCCTCAGATGTGTGACTTAGATGCTCTCTGTGCTGTTGGAGCTATGGTGTTGTCAGTATGTGAATTCTATCAAAGCAGCCTCTGACGTTTGCTGAAAGGTTGCAGTCAGTCACCTAGGACTCAAATGATACCATTAAGAGCAGCTAGTGCTTGTGCAGGGCTGAGATCCACGGGATTTTCAGGGAGAGCCACTGCTCCCTTGCTTTGCTGCTCTTGAAACTGAGAACTCCCACGGGCTGCAGCAGGAGCTGCGTCAGTGCTGCAGACTCTGTGTGCGCAGGCTGCTCTTCCTTGGAAATACAAGCAGGAGCTTTGCACGTGGGGTTAGTGTAGCAATGCTTAGTTGTCCCATGCCTACCTACAGATGTAATGATGACTGCAGGAAGCCGGAGGTAAATCTCAACATTATCTGTTGTAAAACAGCAACTCTGTTGTAATTTTGATGGGCAGCTCAGCTTTTTTTTTCCCTTCAGCAAATTAATTCATACATAGTCATCTGTAAGTTTTCTTTAAGAAATGCAGGAGATGAGAAAACCTAGTGTTAAATGAAACTGGAAGTGACCTTAATGAAATAACACAGTGTTTTCTCTTCTCTCTTTCAGTTTAGAGTTTCTATACCTTGGAGGGAATTTCATTACTTCAATTCCACCTGAATTAGCAAACCTGCCTTCTCTAAGCTATCTAGTTCTGTGTGACAACAAGATCCAGAGCATTCCACCTCAGCTGGCACAGTGAGTATTTAGTGTCATCAGCCACCAGCCATAGTTAACTCTTTGAACTCTTTCTTCTGCATGTGTGGATAAAATCACCGGGGAGGACCTATTTGTCCTTCAGTTTGTTTATGTGACTAAACTTGAACAAGAGGATCCTTAACATGGTGCGCTGCAGGCAACTACGAATATATAATACGGAAATCTCAATCGAATGGTTATGGGAAAAAAAATGTCACCAAGTGTACGCTTTAAGGTAAATTCATAGATTTTTACAGGAAGCCCTGAGAAGTACCTGGACAACTTGGGAAGAATAATCTGCTGTGCTGCTGCTTTCTTAGTGATGAATGCTTGGTCTGTTTTGTCTTTCACCCAAAGCCTATTTGTGCTTTACCATCCCCTGTGTTCCCTTGGTATTTCTCATTCTAGGATCTCAGAATATTTTAGCGTTTGTTAAATCCTGCAGCACAGCTCTAGAGGATGAGTTACTCTTTATCCGCTTCGTAATGGGGGGGGGGGGGAAGAGGATACTGCACACTCTGTATGGGTAGCCTAAGGTGGGAGGTGAAGAATTCAGTGTGTAGCTGTAACCCAAAAGCAATTGGATGGCAGCATGGTGTTTTCAGAGTTGGAATTTGATGGTGCAGTGGGATTATTCTTGATATGCAATGTTTAATGACTCCAGTCATCTTGTACTGATTTGAGAGCATCCCTGGATGCTGTGCTGGAGCATTGCTTTGTGCATCCTGAAAGAGGAGAATGCCTCCTCCAAAAGCCAAGAATCTGCTTGTTACCTGTGCTGATGCTAGCCTGGCCTGACCTTGCTTAGCTTTTGAGATCTGGTAGTATCACAACGCAAGGTGATGCAGCCACAAGCAATGAAAACATGGGGTTTTCCAGGGCTGGCTGCCTACCAGCAATCATCTTTAATGCATGACTGAAAGCAGGTGGCTTATTCAAAGTATTGCATGGAACTATTCTTAATGGATGCACTGGGTACAAGGGAACATTATCTCCCCCTTTCTATACTTTTGTTTTGTGCTACCTTTTTTGGGCTGTGTATGGGGGCAATACTGAGAGGGACAGCAGTATGTTTAAGACTGTGTTTCTTTAACAGGCATTCCAGAGCTGAGCCAAGTTTTCTAGGGCATTGTGTGTGCTGGAGTAACAGTTGCTCTTTTAGGATGGATTTATGCTTTAAAAGGAGGAAAAGCCAAAGGAAAGAAATTGGTGGGAGAGGGGAAGAGTAATGCAATTGTGGAATGATTTTGCTTGCACATCTTGATTTGGTTTCAATCTCCATCCTCAGGCTGCATTCCCTGCGTTCCCTTAGCCTGCACAATAACCTGCTGACTTACCTTCCTCGAGAGATCCTTAACCTGGTTCACCTGGAAGAGTTGAGCTTGCGTGGGAACCCACTGGTGGTTCGGTTTGTCCGTGACCTGACCTACAATCCCCCAAGCCTTCAGGAACTGGCTGGACGCACAATTAAAACTCGCAATGTTCCCTACGCTCCCAGTGATCTCCCGGAGAATCTTGTCCGGTATCTGAACTTGGCCAGCAACTGTCCCAATCCTAAATGCGGAGGTAAGTTCACCTTCACCTGCTTCCTGCTTTTTTTACCGAATGGGTTTTCTTTCCCTCTGACTCACCATGACTTTAGTAGCTCAGTCAGGTTAGATATGTTGTTCCAAATTCTAGCTGTATTTCATTGGCTCCAGATCTCCTGCAAACTTGTCTTTAAGGAACCTTGTTCACTTAGGAATGATGTTCAAAGTTGTAGTGCTGGTTTACTGTATTTGCGTGGGAAGGTAAGACGGTGTTTCTGTCGGAGTCTTTGCAGCTCATGCCAGCACTCCAACATGCTTTTACGGTCTGAAGTTTCTGATCCATCTGCCCTGAAATAGCTCAGACTAAGTAATGGACAGGAGAACTTTTGCAAGCACTCTTGCTGAACAGCAAGCTTCATTTCTGGATGGAAAAGAGGAGGGAAGAGCTAAAGAGTAAGGGAGTAAGCAAGAGCTAACAAGGGACTGCTAGCATGTAGTTCCTGGAAGGAGAGGACTTCATAGAAAAGCCTGGAATGCTTGGGCTTAATTTGGCTTAATGCTTAATCTTTATCCAGAGTAAATGATCTGCGCATTTAGCCTTTAGAAGATTAAGGAAAAAAAAATCATTAATTAGTATCTACCCTGCAGTCATAATGCAGGCTGTTATCTTATCTCCTTACAGGACAATATCAAAGCATGCTCCGAAAGTAAAGAAGGAAGGGCTGGAACTTGTGTTGGAGGGAAAGAAATGTTTCCTGGTTTAGACTCTTGCACAGCTTGGATAACAGTGGATTGGTTTTGTTCTTTTTCACTTTGCCTTATGAACTAGCACAGTACTGCAGCGTTGCTGTAGCACTGCAGGAGAAAAGCTTACTCCAGACCAGTGAGGACTTAAAGCACTGCTGGAAACTTCTGAAAATGTCAGTGTCTGAAATCACTTGCTGTGACAGGAAGAGAACCTAATTGTGTGTTACAGCAATGCTGTTGCCATGGAAAGTAGCATCCAAACTCAGCATGATGACTTTGCTCAAGCAGAAGAAAAGTAGAGCTATGCAGGTCTATTTGTGAATGCATTTTTGCTAGCTGGTAGAAGAGGTTTTACAAGTTTGAAAATAGAGTGGATGAGTTAATTTGACATTTAAGAAGTTTGCAAATTCCCAGCCTGAGATTTCTCCCTAATGGTTAGAAGAAATTGCCAAATTCTTTAGAAGCAGCTGTCCTGTGTCTTTTCATGCAGAGTGTGCCATTCTGAATCACCTACCAAATACAGTTTTACAAGATTACCGGGGTTTTTTTACTAAGAAAAGAAATTTCACGTTTCCATAGGTGCCCTGGTCCCTGCTCTTCCTCCAGTATCCCTTGTCCTTCTACGTCTGATGCTGTGTCAATTTAATCCTAATTTGGGGCATTTGCACCAGCCACAACAACCTTGCAGAGCTTACAGATTTCTCTGCACAGGGGTCTCACATGTCATTACTGTCCCCTCTGCCCTTACAGGTGTTTACTTTGACAGCTGCGTCAGACAAATCAAGTTCGTTGACTTCTGTGGGAAGTATCGCCTCCCGCTGATGCACTACCTGTGCTCCCCAGAGTGCTCCTCTCCCTGCAGCTCTGCCTCCCAGAGCTCTACTTCCCAGAGCGAGTCTGACTCTGAGGACGAAGCCAGCGTCGCCGCGCGCAGGATGCAGAAAGTCCTTCTGGGATAACGGAGCAAGAGGGGAAGACTGGAAGGAAAACGTATTTGAAAAGCAATAATGGAACAGCAAAGCGTGAGCCTCTGGCCTGAAGGGCTCATGAGAAACTGTCCTCAAGTCCATGTAAGGGGCAGAACATCTTAGCAAGCCTAGACTTGCTTGGTGCAGTGCTACTGCTACTTACGCGAACTAACTCAGTGGCGTACTGCCTGTAGGGGGGCCTGGGGTTGTTAGAAACCTCTGCTGTCCGGGAGACACCTCCCCTCCCGCATACGGGCTGGGGAGGGGGATCTGTTCTCACTGGCGGATTGAGAAGGGTTTTAATATATGACACTTCACTGGATTTCAGTCTTCCTGCAGAGCAAAGGAGACTGTCCAGATCTTTTAACACTGTGGTAAATCAGAAACAGGCTAATGATGCCGTGTGAGTATGTCTGGACCCCAATGTTTTATATAGCATTTTGATTCTTTGCTCTCTCCTTTGATTTCAGTTGCAGATCTTACACCCGTCCACAAAAAATGGGAGGTGGGCTTTTTTTGTTCTGGAGTAGGTTTTTCCAAACTCTGGTTATTCTTCCTTTACCTAGAGGTGTAGGTTCTCTGTGCTGTTACAGACGCTGCAGCCATCATAGAACTGAGTCACCTTTTTTCTCCCTTGTTATACCAAGCTGCTCTTAGTGTTTCCTCCTAACTGTATTTGTTATTTTTCCTCCCTCTGCCTCTTCACATTCCACCTGGAGTGTTGCTGTCTTTATGGTGCCTTCAGAAAACAGACGAGTTGTTCTTTTGAGACTCGGTATTACTTCAGACTTGTGGCCGTACGTGCCTGCGCAAGGGACCAGATGCGATGCTCTGTATCATGTTTCTGAGTCTCAGCTTACTGGAGCAAATCTGCTTTTATATCTGTGAATTGCAGGAAAGGTCTTGATTGACATTTCTTGTTTCTAAACAACCACGTCCCCCTGCTGCAGCTAGCTCTGCTATGCTTGGTACAGAGTTACCTTCCATCTTTAAGGTCATCTGCTTAAAGTAGGCAGCAGCTTACTGAATTGGAAGTACTGAGAGAAGTGCCGTGGAGAATGTTGGTTTTGTGTTTGGTTTTTTTCTTATGAATAACATGAGAGTAAAAGCTGGTAGCAAGGTGAAGGTGCGTTGTCTGAGCATCTTGCACGAGCTGGTTTTGAAACCTCTTCCTTATTTATTTGTTTGCATTTGCTCTTCTTATAATAGCTTTGGCAGCCTGTTGGATTGTTCAAATAACACATTTGGTTATCTTAAACTATGTTGAAAGGAAAGCTGCAGAAAATAGCTCAGAATTTTTAAGTATCAAGAAATAGCTTATAAAAATTAATTTTATGAATTGACAGGTATCTATAAATCTACTTTATGGGGCTGTTGTGTGGTTTTGCTCAGTGATAACTGCCCCTTTATTAATATTTAATGGCAGTCAGTCCTTTTGATGCAGTTTCAGAGCAAATCCAACTGTGCCTTCGAATGCATGAGCAGAACAAATACATTGTGTTAAGAAGCTAAATGAACAAGAAAAACTTTTCTTAACCCACTTTGGTCCTAAGGGGGAAATTAAAACCCTGTGCTCCTCTCCTGCATTCAGAAAACACATGTACCTATTTGAATATCTTATGGCAGTTCTGTGTTAATGGTCCTGTTTAATTATATTTGACACTTTATATATTAAAGCACTTTGATAATTCTACTCTTTGTAACTAGCTTTAGTGATTTTTTTTTTTTTTTGTTATTGGACTACAATTTTTCTTTTAATGTGACCTGAAGAATAAGGTCTGTGAAACTTTGTGCGTTCCAGTCTGTCTTGGTGCGCAGGTCGAACTTCTTTCCTTGCATTTCCTTGACAGCACTGCTCATTTCCCTGGTTTCCTTTGGAGAGAACTGGAATTTGAAAGAAATGATCTGGTTGTAAAATAGCACCCCGTCCATTATCAATCATTGCAGCTTAATCTGAAGATTGCCCACACGCACAGATCGACAAGGAACTAAATTGCACGTACTCTGTGCCTTTTCAAATAATTTTTTAAAGTATATTTTTAAGAAACAATAAGGTAGATGTGCAAAGTAATTGAATGTCACTTTAGCAAATTCTGTGAGGTTTGCTTGGGAAGAAGAACCTGCAGATCTTGAGAGAAACCAACTGTATGCTGTTACTTAAATTGGGATCAGTGAGTGGCCTGTGTTTTGTTCTTCATCTTCTCTTTCAGACGCTTCTTCCTGTCCTAAGTGAATATCGTCATACCAGTGCTAAAGGACAGTAAACTGATTGAAGAGCCACAATTTTAAATTGGTGGCTAGTATAACAGTAGTCAGCAACTGAGTGATCTAGAGCTTGGCTCTTCTGCCAGTGAAAGTGAGCCACAGCAGTTGAGATCTCAAGATCTTTTGAGCTCAGGGCCATGAGATACTACCTTCCTTTCTTCTCTTTAGCAGCAGTTGTCTTGAAGTCATGCATTTTTTCACTTCACAAAGTTAGATTTCGCCATGGTTCCTGTTTGCACGGTAGCACCTCTGTGTGTGACGGGCTAAGACCAGCGGTGGCTGGTTCTAATTTAGCTCCATCCTTAACTGCATTTTCTTTCCTAACTGAACAGGCATCCCATTTCTGCCTCGATGCCATTAGGGCTAATAGCCTAATTCTTTTTACAGCTTCTTCACTGTAGCCAGGTCAAAACTTGACAGCTTTTGCAGTTGATATCTGTGCATTTTTAGACTTGATAAAATGTCTTGTCTCTTAAAAATACATATTACTGAATATAGTTACCAAGTTTTCTTTTTGCTGCTGGGCTTTCAAGTGCAATTCAAGTCAGTCAGAATTTAAAACAATCAAGGACAAGAAAAACAAATGGTTGGTTGGTTAGTGGTTTTTTTCCCCTTGGAGGTGGATTTGAGAGGACTAGGGATGCAGGTTTGTACTGTAGTGCCTAATGTACTGAGCCCCCAGGAGTCAAGTTTTTCAGCAATTTTTAGCCCCTAAAGACCAGAAAATGTACTGGGCAATAAAATAAAATAGGTAAGAGACAACTTGAAAATATACTGATGGATGGTAAGGACTAGCTCGTACCGTCCCCTCCTCAGGGGCCCTGAGAAGCAGGCAGTGTTTTTGCCAGCACTGTAGCTCTTTTTGTCAGTTTTAAATAGTGGATTTTGGTTCCTACAGATGCATCTCCGAGTGAAGTCTTCAGTCAGTGTTTTGGTATCAGTCCCCTTGTTGCTACAGCAGCCCAGCACGTCCGGCTTTTGAAACTGTTCCTAAGCCGAGACACAAGCGTTGTGAAGCGAAGTTGCTCATTCCCCCTTCCCCGCAGGGCCTGGGGCCCTGCCCGCATTCATCCTCCGCCCCGCCATCTCTCTGCCAAGGGGAGCTGCTGGTGCGTTTCTGAATGCAGGTACTTCGCGTGAACAGTGGGGTCGTGTTAAAAAGAAGCTAAATACCAATTTGACTGGAAGCAACTTAGACAGTTGCCAATTCTTTTATGTTTCTCTTTCTTTAATAAGAGGTGAGACTTGAGGAAGTCAATAATGAATATTTAAACATACTCTGAAGTGGCCAGATGCAGTTTTTCATGGGCTTCTGTCCTGGTCATTTTAAGTCTTTGAAATCTTGTGTTGAATTATAATGGGAGTTGGGGGGGAGGGAGGGGAGAACCAGCTTCTTTTTGTTCCTTGCTCTTGTTGGCAATAATGAATGGAAGGAATTTAATCCAATGAAAGTAATGAAACTTAATCCCTGCAATGTGTTTTTGTTACCCAGTTCAAAGAACTATTTTCATGCATCTTATTCCCACCATGCACTCCCTCCCCAACTGAAGATACTTCAAATAGACTACTTCAGAATGCACACTAATACAGCAGTAACTCTATCTTGGAAACCTTTCCATTGATTATTTCATTTGCCTGCCTGACTAGAGGATTGATCTCTTACTGACCTGAACATTAAGGGTAGAAAGGTTTCTCATCCAGCCCTCTTGTTGAGTTTTTATCATGAGCATTTGTTTTAGGAAATCTTGAAGTGCCTTATGTTTTTAAAAATGTATTTTGCTACAAATGTATGAATGTAGAATAACAGTATTTCATTATGAGCTGTAAAAAAAATTGCAAACACTAAACCAAAAATGTTATTTCTACAGTTGTCTGTCCATTATTTGCTGGCATCTCAATTCTGGTTTTGCTGCAGGCAGAACCCTTGCAGAATTGTAAACATTAAAAATGGAGCTATACGTGGTTGGGGAACAGATGAGACTTGACCTGTGCTGTGTAAAACCAAGAGTAGGTGAGACTTCCAAAGGGACTGCTGAAACTCTTGGCTTTTGGGGCCCACTTGTGACAGACCAGTGTGTGTTAGGGACCAGACTCTGTTTTATTTCTGATAAACTGTTGCAGAAATTTGCTTCACAGTTTAAAGGCAGAAGTAACTCACGGGCAAGATAAATACACGAACAAGAGAAAGCGGTGTTGTGATGGTGTTTTCCAGCAATATGAAACAACAGTTCTAAACTTCTTGAATTGTTTCCCTCTTACTATGCTAACACTGAAAACTGTAAATGACTTTTTGAATGTTAATTTTCTGATCATGTTAACTGCCTAATGTGTTCCCATTTCTTGTGTAATCCCATGTTTCCTCTTACATCCTGAAGAATTTTTGTGATCTATTGCCAAAATGTTTCAGATCCTGCAGTGCAATTACCAATTGTCAGTGCAGAAATGTGGTGTATTGGAAAATGGGACAGTGGGAAACAAGAATTACTTGATATTAACGTCAGCAGGAACTATTTCAGAGATGGTTCAACTTCATATGTAATGAAAAACACCCTCAAATTATGCAGCAGCCCCATTTCAAATAATATAAAATACCGAGGAATGCAGTGACCATGCCTGTAATAACTGGCCTGAAAATATTCTTGCCTCTTTTCATTATCTAATTTAAAGATACCCTTTTCTGTGCCTTCTTAATACCTTTCTTATATTCATACATAAAATCATAGAAGTGCTGGTTCAAAGGAACCTCTGGTGGTCTCTAGTCTAGCCTCTTAATTTAAGCAGGACTACTGCCAGCACGAGGTTAGGTCGCTGTGGGTTTGTCTAGCTGAGTCTTAGAAACCTCCAAGGATGAAGAGTCCACAACCTCTCTGCCTCTGGTGCTATAATCTCCTCCAAGTGCAGAAGTCTCTCCAAATATCTAATGTCTTCCTGACATTCGTTGCCCGTTTTCTAATCTCAAGGAGCAAATTTTTTGGCTCTCAAACTTTCTTCTCTGCTTTTAGCATTAATGCAATGAGAAGAGTGTAAATGAAACACGAGTTACATAGATGCCTGAAGCCAATGCTCAGAATGTCAGATTGACATTCCAGGCTCACACGGAGTTGCACAGATCTAAAAGGTAGCGTTACGTTGATCCTTTGGAAGTGCTCTTCATGAAG